TCCCTCCCTCCCTCCTCCCTCTTCGCAAGTTCGACTCCGTCCTGTCGTCGCTCTTTGGCATGCGGTTAGCGTTGCGTATCTTGCGGCCGCACTCGCTCACTCTCACTCTCACTCTCACTGTCTCGCTGTCTCACTGTCTCACTGTCTCTCTCTCTCTCTCATCTCTCTCATCTCTCTCATCTCTCTCATCTCTCTCATCTCTCTCATCTCTTTCTCATCTCTCTCATCTCTCTCTCCTCTCTCTCTCTCTCCTCTCTGTCTCTCGTCTTTCCGTTTCTCTTCTCTCTCTTCTCTCGCAGGAGGATCCGGGCAAAGAGCCACATATAAAGGACTCTTCACCCCTGCCTCCAAAAAGAGCGCCGTGTTTTTTCCTACCTCGCTGCCCTCCACTTTCCCATTCTGGAGCGCTAGCTTTCGCCCCCCCCCCTTGGCCTCAAGTTTAGTTCGCTGTCATTTGTGCCAAACATCTTCCAGGTTAGCCCGCCAAAGGAAATTGGATCGCTGTTTGACGATGATCCGGTGATTGCCAGTGTCTCGCGCTTAGTCATTCGCCAATCTGCAGACACCCAAGTGTTTTGAGTACTTGTGCATGTATTTCGTGCAGTGTGCATATTGCATCGAACAAATTTGTACATATTCTGTATGCTCTTCGACGCTTCAAATATACAGTAATTTTATTTATCAACAAGTTGCATGGTACCAATGATGCTCCTCGAAGAGGTTGTGACGTATTGTTCGCTGTGGATTCCGAGCCGTCCGTGCTTTATATAATTGGACATTTTCTAGGAGTGTTGATGAATGCCACTAGGTGTGTGGTTTCCAGTGCCAGATGCCTCTGGGCTGTAGGGGCAGAGTCACCATTTAAGGGCCGTGTAAGGGTACTAAAGGGTCTCGATTCGGTCCATTGACATCACATGCGTATTGGCCAAGGAACAAAGCCAATCTTCCCCAAAACGCTGTGCCAAAGTGGGCTGGAGAGGTTTGCTTAGATGGGTGAGATAGGTCCTTTCATGTCCTTTCTAGATTCTTGAAGATCAAGTGAAGAGACCTTGCCGTTGGACCATTTTGCCGTAAAATCACACCGGGCCGTTAGACCATTGTGCCAGGAGGATCTTCCTTTGAGGGGTCGGTCGTCTTGGACCGTGCGACCGTGCTCCTCACCCTCCCAAAAGACATCCGGTTTCTGGTTCTGCTGCGATAATTAACTCTTCCCGAACTTCCCGCCTTCTCGCATGTGCAGGTTTGTCAGTGTAGGGAGTGCAACCATGGGGTTGAGTGCTTGAATATACGAGTGCACGCTCCAGTAGAATGGTTTGTCGAGTGCCAGCCCCATGGGTCCCGCGCGCACGCCCGAAGACCATGTTTCCTCCACTTGGGGACGCGCGTGGGCGCGGGACCATGCCGTGCCGCAGGGACCCTGTGTTCTTTTCTTCTTCGGAAAAACAACAAAAAGACACCTCGACGGTCATCAGGGAATAAAGATAATTTACACATTTGGCAATATTTTCGCAGATCTTTGGCAATGCGACGACAGACCAGCGTCGCCCAGCGCTTACCGGAGTCCCTCTCGGGAACACGCCAGCCGGCCCCGCTCCGCTCACGCGCACGCGCGTTCATCGTCCTAGACCGGGGTCGGCCTATAAACGACAAGGTTTCGACGAAGTGTTCGATTGTCATTACCACGGTTTCTTTTTTGCGGCTTGGCAAAGCACTTCAGTTCTTATGGTCTCAGACATGAATCAAGTCCGAGAACGAAGCTAGATGCGGATTTGGGGTTTGGTGTGAGGAAAGATGGAAAGATGGAAAAGCAAGCCATTAACGTGCCACTGACGTTAAACAAAGATAAAGGGATATATTTTTGGTAGTTCAAGATAGTGCGGTAGTTATAAGCCAATCTAACTTCATGTCATGTTTTTCCTTTAAATACATTTGTTTAAGCCTATTTGATATGTTTTTTTCGCCAGCCATGTCTTGTTGATGTGAGCCGCTTGATGCTTCGAGTCTTCCAAGGCCCCAAAAGCGCCCATGCCCAAGGCAGTCTCAGACACCGAGATGTGGGACCCACGGTGTAATACCTTGTCCCGCTTGATTCGTTCATGGGGGCCCATGTCATGCTATTTGGGACAGGTTGCAGTCGGCTTGAGAGACTCATGCAATGGGGCATGTGAGCATGTGAAACAATGCTGTCCCATCGTCCAATGCCTCAAACACTCGATCCGCACAGGCAACCACCTCTCTTTTTGATGATAAGCCGCAGGCCGAAGCAGGGGAAAGCCCCGGTGTGTGTGCGTGCTGGACAGTTGGAAAGATGTATTGCACCACCAAATTGTATATCCACCAATGTCCACGAACACTCAAAGCTGGTTGTTTCTTAGTTTGCTTCAGGCAATGGAAATCAGTTCTTCTGGGTGAAAGAGAGTGTCAGTGAGAATTTCATAGTAATTATTCCCCATTAGGTTTCATTTGTTCTGATTCAAGGATGTTGCTCTTGTTTGCATCTAGTTTTGTGCCATATTCATATGCATTCATAGCCATAGCTGCATAGCTGTCATGTAGCAGGTTTGGAACAGAATTTGTTTCCTGAAGGTGACCCCATGATATTATCCCATAAATTGTGCAGTTTGTTGATTTTCTCTTTGTTGATGAGAACCAATCATTTGGTGAGAGAGTTTCCAGATGAGTCTCAAGATGAATTCATGCTTAGTTTATGTTTGCTAAGATCAATCTCTCAGGATTGTTATCCGCGAGGTGTCATGATGCTTTTCGCAAGGTCTGTTGAAGTAAAACAATCCGGAGATCAAGCAAGCCTCGGGTCCCAGACCTTCGACCATCCTCCTGTCCCAGCTGGGTCCCAGATGTTCAAAGACGAGGCCTCGGCTGGCTCATCACTCTTCGACGAGGTGAGCTTTTCAGTGTGTATGGCGTTTTTATGTTGAAATGTTCTGTTTGGTGGGTTGTTGAGGCGGGAAACAAGGTTGAAACATATTACTGAATGAACATACTGGCACTATGCACCTTCAAGCTCATGGAAATTTTGTAGGTTGCTTGCACGAGTCATTTTTGTCATGCTTTTGAGTGTGATGGTCTCTATTATATTGTGCTGCTTGGTCCAGTCAGCTACCCCATCTATTCTTACCTGGCCATGAATTTCAGCATACATAGCGTAGTACTTAGTACACTTGATGAAAACCTCCCGCACACAGGCACATCACTCCCACAATGGGATTGCTGGTGGCATTTTAACTTTCAATTCATTTGAACCCCAGAAAGGTTGTGTATTTTTCTTCGGTCAAAGTACACCAGGATAAACATATTCCAGCAGGAGGATTGCTACATGAAGCCATAGACTCGATTAGACTTGACTTGCCTGCAAGAGAGAAAACATGTCAAAGAATCCGCTTGGTCACTAAGGCACTTTTAGAATGGTTTAGAACGGTTAGAGCCAGATGATGACAGATGGAATGTGGCTTCACATGTGAGTTGTTTGGTAGACCCCTGGGCTTGACCGTGGGTGGTGTCAGGACCCCCTCTTCAGTGACGAAGCTTCGCAGCAGGGGGAGCGTGAAGACGAACGATGGGGTTTTTGGATGGTAGCTTATGTTATAAAGGCCGATGACCATTGAGGTTTGACAAAGGATAGAGGATGCAGCTGAAGTTGGTCATAGACTTGTGAGTGTTTTATTTTTGGCCCGCTTTGGCACCGGTAATTAACCTTGTGGACATAGCGATATTGGTGTCAAAGGGATCAGATGACGAAGCGAAGGCTTAGAAGCCATTTCCTTTGCTGCCACATGCACGTTTTTGCAACGGGACTCGACCCTGGGAAATCTAGGTCCAGACCTGGGTGACAGTTGGGGGGATGTTGTGAGCTACAATTTGAACGGAGACTTATGACTCACTTATGACTTCAGTGTTTCTACAACCCCAATGGCGAGCCTCTGTTTTTTGTGACAATTTGTGGGACTTGGTTTTTCCACAGACTGTTTCTACCCAGGCACCGATGCGGAAGCCGCCGGGCGCACTCGGAAGCTGCCGGTTGTCGCACGTGTTTCAATGAAAGTGCCAAAAAGGTGGAGGCTGGTGGCCGGCGGAGGCCATCAATACACAAAGACTGAAATCTTCTGAGTTGCGATTCGGGA